GACACCCTTGTGGGACACTCTTGTAGCGCACTCTTGTGGGACACTCTTGTAGGACACTCTTGTGGGACACTCTTCTGGGACACTCTTGTAGGACACTCTTGTGGGTCGCCAGTTCTCAGCTTCCAGCTCCACAGATTGCTCCGCGTACTAAAGTTGTACTACAAAGTCGCCAGTTCTCAGCTTCCAGCTCCACAGATTGCTCCGCGTACTAAAGTTGTACTACAAAGTCGCCAGTGCTCGCCTGCATTTCGCGCGCTCGACACGCACGATCTCCGCAGAGGGTTGCGCGGGCACGGGACAAATCGCACTCTCGCCTGCGTTTCGCGCACTCGACACGCACGATCTCCGCAGAGGGTTGCGCGCGCATGGGACAAATCGCACTCTCGCCTGCGTTTCGCGCACTCGACACGCACGATCTCCGCAGAGGGTTGCGTGCGCATGGGACAAATCGCACTCTCGCCTGCATTTCGCGCACTCGACACGCACGATCTCCGCAGAGGGTTGCGCGTCAAGTCTCCAAAATGAGCGTTTCGTACGAGACTTCCTCAAAAACTCACACGTCAAAGTCTGCAAAACGAGCGTTTTGTACGAGACTTCCTCCAAAAGTCAAGCGGAAACACCCATCGGAGCAGTTTCGCGATTCCAGCCCCTCCAAACAACATCCGCTCACACGCCAATCCCAATGTGACAGCGACATTCACCTCTACCACAACTCACAAACTCACGATTCCCTGCGCCTGCCACGAATCTTTCCGCGTCCACACGTCTAACGCGCAAAAAGTACTGCGCCTGCCACGAAATGTCACCTCCGTCACATCTCGCAACCTCACGATTCCCTGCGCCTGCCACGAGAATCGCACTTCCACGCCTCAAAACCCGCACAAAGTCCTGCGCCTGCCACGAAAAGTGACAATATCATCTCATGTGAGCTTCAACAAAATTTGCACCACACCACACGTTTGGAATGATTTCGACCCGTTCTGAGCACACTCCCATCCACCAAAATCGCCATTTCAGCTGAGACTTGTCACGAAAACCGAGCTTCGATGCCACACCCTGAAACGCAAATCCCAATGGCACGGCCACATCCAACACCCCAAAAACACGACTCTCCAAACGCTAATCCCAATGGAACTGCGCAGCAATCTGCGGATCTCACAAAACGCTGCGCCTGTGCAGCGAAATGCATCACGTTTCTTGCGCGACATGTCCTGGTCATGCAAATCACAATGGAATAGCGGCGCAAACTGACACGTGACACGTCCATGCAAAGTCACTTGCAAAAGCTTCCCCCAATGGCAGCAAATTTGAGACGCGATGACGACGACAAGCGACGACAAGCGACGACAAACGACGACAGACGACGAGACGACGCAAGCCATGCAAACACAGGTCCAACCCCCACACCCCCAACTATAAACGGGAACCCTTCGCTACGCATTCGGGAAAAAGGCGCCGACCGGAACCAAGACCCAAATGATTTGGACTTGGACGAAGCCGACCACAATGTACCTACAGAGGCCCCGCTAAAATAGCTCGTGTTCAAAAATAGAAGATGAAACAACTGGGGCGTCGGCTGTGGAAAAGCCTGCGGGAAACAGGACCAACGCCGAAACAAATACAGCATGAACCAATGAACAAACTCCCACACCTCAGATTCCATCTCAAAATGCCTTGGGCGCACAAATACGTTTTACCAAATACGGAGCGAAGGATTACAATCTTTTTGGTCGCCGAGGCTGACGCGAGGAAAAAGCGAGGAAAGGCAATTGAAATTGGTCGGCGTCTTACACACTCTGACCAAACTGCGCCAATTCCATGGCGCGGATGAGTATAGATGTTCTTTTCAATGCACCAACACCAAGAAATCTGTGACGCACGCGCAGTTGCAAGCAGTACGAGCAAAAGACCGCGCCCTTTTTCCACAGTAGCAGTGGTCAGTCACCGTCGGAGGGCGCCTGACATGAAACGTTGCGCGTGAACTGCGCAAACGTTCTATCGACATCATCTTGCGTGCCCGGCCTCCGACTCTGATGGGCAAGTCGTGGACTGAAAGTCCAGATCGTCCGCCTCATTGCGGAAAACCGAGCGCTCGCCCCGCCAAGACTAAGATCAACGGCAAAGCGATTTGAGGGCTGCGCAGACCAATTCTCTCTTCCTCCTCCGGTTCCGCCGCCGGCGCCTGCAATGAGCAAGAGCGTCCACGTATCAAGCCCGCCCCTCACAAAACCCTGGCCTCCTCCTCCGACTCGCCAGTGTCGTCGGGCAGGGGGAAATCGAACATTTCCTTGGGCGAGCGCGTGTTTTTTTGTGCGCCTGGCCCCATACACCCCGATCTCGCCGGAAGCGAGGTCGCCTGGCCAGGCCCCAGCGTCGCCGTCGAAGTCCCCGCCGGGGAGCACCTAAGGTTCTACATGCGCGCTGGCGCAGGCAAAACATTCAACAAACAAAAGTGTGTAAGTGCCCGGCAAGAGGTTCACAGTCGCCGCCGCATTCCTCACCTCACCAACAGTAAAACAATAATGTGGCGACAAAATGCCTGCATAGCGTGCGGCTCAAGCTGAGGTTGAAACAAGTTGGTCCCGGTCCGTCCCAAATCAGGACTGACAAGCACGGGCGGTGGCAGACCTAGGTCAATTCTAGACAAGTGAAAACCTTTTAGTGTCCAAGGCGGAGCCATTTTCACCCGGAGCAAGTGGAGAATGCTGTTTACAGGAGAACGACATGATTATTGTCCGGTTTGGTTTGGATTTCGGCACTTGACGCTCGAAACGCCCAGCAACATGCAGAAACCAAATGGACCTGAGCAGTGTTTTGGAAAGAGTCAGGGTGTATCTGCTTGCATCTTGCATCCCAATTCCCGATTCCAGGCCCCGGAATCGGGAATGGCACTGCCTTCAAGTTTATCGAGTGGGAACTGAAGCAAACACATGGCTGCCACGTTTTCTTGCCACATGGCTTTCTGCACGAGGGGAGCCCCCCCTTCACTTCGTCCCACACCACAGTGGTCTCTGGCCACTTTAAGACACTTCATGTCATCGCAGTCTCATCGCAGTCTCACAACCGAGTGCGAGATCATTTCTTTTTGAGGGGCGGCATCCTGTTACCACTCTACAGTAGTTGGTCACCAGTGGTTCCAGGCAACGACAAAAACCATCGACCGGTTCCGGCCCCTGGGTTGCCTGGGATGCATTGGGAAGACCCTAAAACGACGAGGTCGAAGGGTTTGGTTCGACCTTCTCTTCCTCGTTTCACCGAGGCAAAGAACACTGACGTCTTGACCGAGATCCATTGGGAAGTCCACCGCGGTTGGTTGGCGGTCCACCCCGAAGGGAAGGGCTGACTGGTGTTCTCGTTCCTCAACTCAGAACCCTCCGGCACTTTTGACTTCCTCCCCCTTGACCTCATGGCATCTTGGCCCAGTGGCACGCCTGCTTGGGCACCTCCGCTTCGGCACGCCTGGCGCCCGCGTGCGGCGCTGGTGTTTGGTGTGACGATTCTGGTTCTTGGCGAGTGGACGTTTTGCAACCTCATCAGTCTGGGTGGAAGGACTGATTCGCAAATGGGATTCAGCGGTCTCGACATCACAACACTTCTTTGGGCAAGATCAGGGACTGAACGAAACCAGCTTAGTTCCTGCAGCCCTTAAGTGGACACGATCTGGGGCGGGACAAGATGGGCTGCCACGCAGACAGTTGAAGCGAGAAAGCAGAGTCGCACCAAAAAGATAACAACCGTGAGACCTACCAAAAAAGGAACAGGTCTACAGCTACAGCGAAGTAGCTCCTCTGACTCATCTGTAGCTTCCCTGCTTTCTGCATCCACTCTCCTCTCTTCGAGGCTTTGGAATGCGGCTTTTCCAGTCCGTGGCCCACCAGGACCGGCCAGGCCGGTCTGAAAAAGGTCGGAAAAGGAACCGAGAAGGGCGGAAGATCAAGGATGCACGTTGTATAATGCATGCACATGCACATGTGAACGCCTAAGAATGACCCTTTGATTTGCATCTGGAATGATCCTGACCCCTCCTCGTGCTAGGTTGGTGGCTGGGTCTCGTATCCAAACAAAAGGGACGAGTGTCTTTTTCAGCTGTCACAGCCCTGTCCCTTTCTCTTTTTCTTGCATCCCGAAACACGGAACACGTGACCTGAACAGGGCCCGATCCTTCGAATCTGTGGAGCCCATTTCCCAACTGATTTCTTCTAGGAACAAGAAGCTACTAGGGGCTCCTGGCATCGCTACTAGGAACAAGAAGCTACTAGGAACAAGTGCATCGCTACTAGGAACAAGTGCCTTACTAGTAGTAACAAGAAGCTACTAGGGGCTCCTGGTATCGCTACTAGGAGCAAGGACGCTACGAACGGGGCTCCTCCATCCGTCTGGTCGCGCCTCAAAGCTTCCGCCTGGTGGTGGGACCGGACGACACACGACGACACGACAAAAGACACCTGAACATCCCCGGAATTCATCTACGGTAACGCATGTTTTTTTCCGGGTTGAACAGCTAAAACCACTGGCAGAAAGGCATAAACTGGAGTGGAGCATAAGAGCAACCACTAGTCGGATAGAGTATGCGAGTTGCAGCAAGGGATGATCCGAATTGATCCTGGACGTGCATGCCACTGACTGTAAACGACAAATCAAACCAGTGAGAAACAAACAATTCATACCACCCAAAACAAAAGAAACACACACACACACACCTCAAATACACAACCTATTGATTGACACCTGATGTGATTGATCGCATCAAGTCACAACGAGTGCCGCATGATCTGGCTCCCGTTCCCCAAGGAAACTTCTAGATTACAAAGCTTTCTTGTTAGCGATAGCCTCCAACCGAGTTTATGCCAATGTTACTTGTAGCTTCTTGTTACTAGTAAGAATGCTCGGTTCGTAGCGATGCCAGGAGCCCCGTTCGTAGCGTCCGGTCGCTCCTAGTAGTAAGGCCAGGAGCTACTAGTAGGTTCTTGTTACGTTCGTAGCTTCTGCTCTCCCGTTCTTCAGCCTCTTCGCTGTTCTTGGCACGTTCGGCCACAGGAAGCGCCTTCCGCGGCTTCTCCTCAGCTTCTGTGGCTGGGGTGAGATGAACCATTCCGTCGTTTCTCTTCTATTCAGATTGAAAGACCATGGCGTGAATTACGATATGTATATCATAGTATACACAATGTTTTGTTCTTTTGGGTATATCTCTTTATTGTTTCTTTCTTTCGACCTTTCTTTATTTTTTCTTTCTTCCTTCCTGGGAGACTTTCCTAGTATATCTCCTTTCTCTTTTCTTGGCAAGCGCTCTCCACTCTATCACCTCAAAGAACAAATATATTGTCAGAATCCCTGCAACATCTCTACAAATCTCATATCATATCTTCACATGCTTGTTCGCCAGCGATCAATATGACTTCCAAAGCATGCATAGTGCCTCCTGACCCTGATTGTCAATTTCAACATCTACACCACCATGCGCTCTCAATACGGGGAGCGTGCGTGTCTGACGCACAAATGTGTGTCGTGTGCGCGTCTGGGATGAGTTTGGGGGGGCAGGTGCGGCAATATAAGGTGACCTGATGCGCGAGATTTTCTGCAAAGGATGGGCGCGAATAAGATCTGCGCGATCGAACATCCAGTACTTTATTGACCTCCTTGTAAACTAGCGTATGTACCCTTCGAACAAACGCCTTTGTCAATATCTAAACAAGAGAGCCTTTCGGTCAACTCTGCATGTTCCTGTTTGGGGATTTCGCATCCCGTTCGCAACGCGGAACGTACCATCCTAGTTCAACCTCCTGGTGGAAGGCCTCCCAGCGAACAAACAGCGCTGTACCGATTGATGCCGGAAGGCCCGGCTCTGATACTTCATACTAGTGTGGGAAGTCCGCTAACGCCTGGAGAGTGCTCGAGTGCCCATCTTAAGAATGGCCTCCAACCTACAAGCAATGGCCTCCAACCTCAAATTCCCCAAAACATCTTTTAGCCAGCCCCTTCGCGCACAGCATGACCTCTTTTGAGGCAAGTCTGGAGCCGGTGTAAAGCATGTCTAGCTTTTGTTGGAAACTGCCTCAGCCTAAGAGTGTAAGGTTCTTTCCAGCGAAAATGCAGAGCGTTCAAAAGGAGGAGAAAACTCGTCGTTTTCGTGTTGCAATGCAAAGTGTCTGTCATTTCTCATCTTGGGCGAGGGGAGCAAATGCTGCAGTGCAAATGAACATGGTCCACCGACGATGTTGTTTGTGCGCTGGCTTTTCTGACCAAGAAGTGTTGCTTGACCGCACCATGGCACAAAAGGGTGCAATCTTCTCTTATCAAAAATGGTCCATGAATTAATCCAGCCAAAAACAGATCACCAATCAAAACAGTGAGAGTTGTCAAACATGGGGGCCTTTTTTGCAGCACCGCGCCGATGCGTTTGTGTGTTCGTCCGTTCGTCCATCTGGTCCTTCTCGCACGAGGGATGGTCGACGCACGAGGCCTGCGAGTCGTCGAGACGTGTTCGCTTCCCGAAAATGGGAAACCGGGCAATGAGGAAGGAGTAACAAGAAGCTAGTAGTAACAAGTGCCACGCTAGTAGTAACAGG